CTTTTCCAACACCATCACCACCACAATTACCCCATTGCTTCTCCGCCTCACTTCCAACACCTGCTCCAACAACTCTTCTCTTACCATCACACCAACTCCTCCCGTACCATCATCCCCCTTCCACCACAACTTATATCTTCCACCTTTAGCCCCCACAAACCTTGTACCCTCACCCTTCCATCTGACCTCCTGTAATGCAGCCACGTCAACCATTCTCCTCTGCAGCTCCTCCACCACTTCCAAACTTCTTCCTGTCAACGTGCCTACATTCCAGGTACCAAACCTCCAACCCCTTGGTCTACAAGTAGTCCTTCCATCTATAGTGCCTTGCACCGCCACACTATAGAGTGGGGTGCCAGTAGCCAGACCATCCACAGGGCCTTGCACCACAACCCCATCGACTGGGTCTCCGGAGATTCTTCGCACCCTCTTCTGCCGGATACTGAGGGCCATTGTTTTCTCCGTCATCATCATAAGCATTTATTATTTGGCTAGTTTTTACACAGGACGCCCTTCCTTACGCAACCACAGTTATAAGCGGTGGGCCTAGCCTTTGATGATCCAACATCACTCACAAGGCAGTGAGGGTCAGTTTAATGTCATAACCAGGACAATGTCATAACCAGGACAATATAAATATACCACTAAAAAAACGTATTTCAGATGTTGTTTAATTCGATATGATTTCATTCCCATATCGAAATGTATTTCCACAGAATGATTTCTTGGTTTGTTTTTGTAAAAATTCAAATCAATTAACGTTCACAACGAGCACTAGGTGCCAAAATGTGTTTCAGTAGTGTCTTGCAGTTTCGTATATTCTTCAAACTCTTCGTTTGCCAGTACAAATGACGCCGTATCTTCATAATTGTCGATGACTTGATTTTTCATTCTGTCTTTTACATAAAATTTGAAGTAGCTGTTGATTCGCCATCATGGAATACATCATTTTTCTTGCATGAAGATTCAACGTTTGCAACGGCATAATTGTAATCACATCAAGCCGATGAGATGGGCAAAACAAGGACAAATAAAATTGGTTTGAAGAAAGAAAATTGAATTTTTTTTTATAAAAATGGAGCTGGTTGATGTAGTAAATTTTTATATAAAATCAAAATAAATAAACTTTTTTCTGCACAGACAGTTTTTGTGCGCTAAGTTTGTAACCTGAGTGCGCAAGATGAGACACAAACGATGATAATTTGTGATGGTAATGAAAAAGATGAGACATTGAGGGGCGTTTTTGGTGAGGATGTTTGTGATGATAATATTGATACTTCAGCTGATTTTGTCCAGAAGTAATTTTTTTAAATCTGTGAATTTTCACCAAGCGGATGGTAATAGACCACCAATGCGTTCTATACATTCTGTTCTCTGAATAAACGAGATGGAAAATCAGAGCGACGTACACTTTTGTTCATTGTTATTATTTTCAAGGTGTTATGAATGACTGCCTACCATCGTTAATTATAATATAAATAGCAGAACAATAAGTGTGATATCAATAATAGTTATTATTAATATTTATATTAATATCATTATTGTTGTTATTATTTTTATTATTTTAAGAGTAACAAGAAGAAGGGAATCTATGAATTGAATGAATAGAAATAACCATACATCCACTCCATAGCTAATGACACTTATACAATATACTATCCCAATAACTTGAAAGGGCTGCACACGCACAATGCAACACATGCACAGGCACACATACATACACAGTGTATGTATATGTGTGTGTATAAACATATATGTCATAAATGTATATATATATATATAGTACACATATATGAATATATATATATATATAAATGTATATATTGTATACATTTATGCATATATATATTTTGTTAGCCCCCTACTTCGTCATCTGCCATCCCCACGTCAAGCACTACCAATCTGAAGTTTTTGAGCACCTGAAGCGAGAGTACGTGCTGTTCGACCTGCCGCTAACCAGGCCCTCAATTCTCTGCGGCGATTTCATGGTCGAATTTTTCAACAAGATCAAAATGATGAAACCCGTTGGTGATTTTTTTTCATCTCAGTGGATTTTTTAAAATTTATTCTGATCTTGTCATGATTGGTTTTTTGTAAACGTTTCCATTTATATGAATTATAGTTAAATAATGTGTTATATGTCAGTTTTCATTTTAAATATACATTAAACAATCCTGACTGTTTGTTCTTAATTTAAGTTTGTATGCAAATTGCATGTAAATTAGATTACGTATAATAATTCCTAACGAGTCATTTCCCAGCACGTCACCTTACTAATTATTTTATACGATAATCTAATCATCTAATCATCGTTAATTCTACTAAATTGTTTATTTGCCTGTTGCACATGCTACAGGAGAAGTTGTTTCACTTCTGGTTGAACACATTCTTCATAAGGGATGTTGTCAAAATGCCCATCTGCACGCCTTCCCATCACAACAAGATCACCCAAACTTGCGGCACCCCTGTCCAAGCTCAGTCAAAACAGCACAACAAATTCTCACCATTTCTAAGTAGAAAACTTTTTCACAATGAAATGTCACCGAAAATGCCTAAGAAGTTGTTAGCACTGGATGTAGAAAAATCTCCACAATCCCGTCATCGTCAGGTGCAAAGGGAGGGTTCTTCAAGAAGTAACAGCGTTCCAGAACGACTGACTCCCACTCCCTCTTCTGATAAGTTCTGCCTCAGCTATCCTGAATTGATGACACCCGATCTGGCGAGTCCAAATTTGGCGGGTGCACCATCCTTCAATGAAGATTTCGTTTATTCCTTTTTTGCAAAGTTTGCACGTTTCGTTTGTTAAATTTATTTAACTGTACTTATTTCATTTGGCAGGTTACTGTTGTTATCACAAATTTTTTATAGTCCAATGCCCTAATTGATGGTCTTGCTTGACCTTCGTAAAATGTTGAGGTTTCATTCAAGTGCAAGTTAAATTTTATGCAAGATGAACATTTTATTAAAAATAAGAATTTTTTAAAGAAAAATATCCAGTGCATAAACTATAATTGTAACCTTATGTCTGTGATAGATTTCATTTTTAATTACATATTCCACTGTGTTTTATAAAAATTCATAAAGTTACGGTGGATAACACAGTGATATTATTAATACTAATTTTCTAAATTTTTTAGAAACAACATTGGCAATTCCAAGACAACCTTGTCAGTGCCAGACCATAGTTCCAAACTGGCCTCTAAGAACACAGCAGCAACTACAGTAGCTGCAACACCAGCATCTCGTTCCATGGTCAAATGCTCAACATCGTTCTCATCAACAGTAGCAACAATGACAACAAAAGACATTAAGAATAATAAAGCACATTCTGCCACGTCCATGACATCAACATCTTCAGTTGACGCTGCGCTACAGCCTGTTGAGACATCAAATCAGACATTCGCTTGCAGGAAACCTCAGGTTGATTTGCTAAATGCACAAGCAAAGTCTCAGCAACGGCCTAATGATATTACAACGGGACATCTACTCAACCAGATTGAATACTCAGACGTCTTTCATGAAAGCGGTCATTCAGTAGAAAATCTTAACAGCATGCATGAGTGTAATGAAGCTTCAACAACCACATTTCTTTCCATAAACAACAACAACGATCCTTCACATATGAAGTCAAACAAACCGAACTACAAACACTTCAGAAACATCTTCTCCAAGCAAACCAAACAGTTTGACAAGCAGAATCAAGTTTATGACCCTTTTGATAAAATGAAAATGAATGAACAACAACAACAACAATATGAAATGCAAAAGTTTCGGCAACATCAACAAAATGTTGAGGAGCACGAAGTTGCACAACTCCATCCACGCCAGTCATCATCACATCCATACATCCAACAGCAACCTAGCGTACAGCAGCCACTGCAGCAACATTCAAAATTTAAAAAACCGGAGTGGCTGATAAAGTTGAGCAGCAGGACAGCAGCTCCTCCATCGACGACAACAAAAACGACAGCAGTGCCCAAACATTCCGATAATATTGGCAAGAAAGAAAATAAAAACAAATTTGGTTTTCTGTCCAGATACAGTAGATCCAACAGCACCAGCGAAAGTGGCGCTATCGTTGCGACGACTAACAACAACAATGACATTAGTAACAAACTTGCGACATGCATAGCCACAAAAACTTCACTGTCACCGACAAAATTTTCAGATGACAACTTGATTCGAAGCAACGACATCCACGGCATTGTGATTAGCAATGAGAAATCTCTCAATATTCCTCAAAGGAAAAGTGCTGCAAGTAATAAATTCTCAACAGATCCAAATTTTTCAAAATCATTAGACACAAGTGGCGAGTTTGGTTTGTTGAACAATTTGAATTTTAGCAGAACATCATCCTCTTCTCTGACAACTGCTTTGTTTGAATCCTGGGATGTCATCAATGTCAATGTGTGTAGAAATGATCAAATGAAAAATAATGACAATGCAAAGTTTTTCTTTGATTCCACTGAACAACCGACCAATCAGTCATTTAACAACTCTTCAGTCAGCAAGTCAAACAACAGCATGACGAATTTCAGCGATCACCTCTCGTTCAATCACAGTGCTTCTTCTGATGTCAAAAACATCAAAGCTGCCTTAACCATACAAAAATATCGACAACACAATGTGACAAACAGTCAGCAACAACAATCTCACAGCAACCAATCAACACAGTTACTACACGTCAACAACAAAGAGGAACTTCCACATCGCTTTAACATGTCTGGAATATCTCAGGAAGCTGAACATGCAGCGAAGCCATCATATTCCACATCACTTTCACCTCAGTATATTAAAACATCAGTGACAACACCTACAAAACATGAATCTCCACTTTTAAAAACAACCACCCACTCATCGACAGCACAGCAAAAACAACCGCACCAATCACAACAGCATCCACTGAAGACATACCAGCAGCAGTCGGTTGATGAGAAAACTATTCCATTCTTCTCCTCACCATCATCTCATCATGAAGATAAATCATTGAATCGATACAACGAACCTGACATAGTCGGTGGGAATACCTCCACCATTTATTACTCATTAAGTGACTTCACAGATCGAGGTGTTACGCTCGCTCCTAAATTTCATTCGGTTGATGTCGATCACCCTGATGGCAAGAAAAATGTTGCAGATAGATTGAAATTTAGAGGGAATTTCACGAATAATAGCTCGAGGGAGAAGTATCTGATTGTCTCAGAAGAGGCCTACGCCTCTCTCGACCCCAACGTCAGTGAACATTCATTCCTCACCGTCTCTCTTACCAAATCTCAAATCGATCGCATCTACAAGGACACGCATCACAAAATGTTCCAAAGTGATTTTAAGGTAGTTTTTATATATATATTTTTTTTTAAATTAGAAACAAAATTTGTGTAAATGTAGATTCACAGTTACCTACATTTTTTTAATGCTTTCATACTTTTTTTTTATCAGATGGAGTTTATTTTAAAACTACTGCCAATAATATTATTATTGTCCTTATACGAGATCTAAATGGTTAAGTGGGTATAAGATTATTATTATTATTATGACGTAAATGATTGAGTGGGTAAGATTTTTATCCTGACGTCATCATCAGACATTTGATTGAGTAACTTCGCAGTTGTCTTTATTATATTCACCAGTTTTTATATTTTCCTTTCCTAATCTAGGTGACGCTATACTTCGTCGAGCCCAATTCTCTCCTGGACTCCACCTCCACGAACGTCTGCACGTCCAGGGAGCAACTCTACACCAAGTCGCAAAGTGATGACGAGAACGATGATGAAGACGACGACGATGACTGTTTCGATAATGATGATGAAAATTTTACTGAATGGCCTTCAATGCAAGCAACAAATTTTAGCTGCTCCGGAGTGTGATTTTTTATCTATGTTATCCTTTTTTCTGTTTTTTTTTATCTATGTTTTTCTTATTTTTCGCTAATGTTTATTTAAGTTTATTAACTTTCTCTCATATTGTACATTTGCTATTTTAATTTCTTTCAGTTTGTTTGTTTACTATACTGTTTTATTAGTTTTATTTACTAATTTATCTATATTTATTTTTCTAAAATATAACTTTTACTATATATTATTATATTTACATATATGTATGTATGTATATAAATGCATATATATATATACAAATATACAGTTTTGTATGAATTCAATTCTACCAAATTGTTGGCATTAATCAATTTAAATCGTTTCAATTTTCCTTACTAGAGTTTTCTGGAGATTGTTCAATTTATTGAAAATGGAATTATTAATCAATTATACAATACTGTATAAAGTATGGTCTCCTTTCAATATATATATATATATATATATATCAATATATATATATATATATATATATATATATATATATAACGATAATGCACAATTCATTTAATAGTCAAATAAACTTTTAAACTCTAAAATGAGGTCTTTTATTTTTTAACGAATTTTTAATTCAGTAATTGTTTCAAGTTAATGGTACGAAATCACGTTTAACCTACATAACAACAATGATAATAACATTAATAACAGTAATAGCATGAGACATTGTTCTTGCTGCTATTGGTGTTCTCTATTGCGTATTATGTTCTTGCTATTCTTTCATCCATTTCATTGCCATCCGTTCGAATGGATTATTTCATTTTATTAAGTGGTAATCTTTTATTTATTTCTAGTATAATTCTAACTGCTATCGAGAAAGTGCTAATTTTGTTATTATTATATCTATTATAATAATAATAATAATAATTATTATTATTATTGGCTGTTTTACTCTCGAAGAAGGCTTACTAGGCTAATATATCCACGGCATTACAAATGTTCATTATTATTGATGGCATGGCGTTAGTAAAATAATAACGTTGAAGGCCGAAACAATACATTATCTGCGTATTCGTTACATAATTGTATGTACCTAAAATATACAGCCTTCAGAGTACGTTCTTCTGTATATCTACTTTCGTTTGTATCAGCTGGTTTTGTTGTATTCATATATTTCGTATACATTTGTGCAGGCTGTGTATGCTATGTATGTATGTGCGCTGCGCATACGTACAATATGTATGTATATATTTCTTGGTGGGCACTGAACAAACAACATCTACATTTTTGAGGAGATATCGCACGTGAATTCAGCCGTTTCACAAAAAATTAAGTGAATTAAGTTCAGAATTCATTGAGCGATTAAATTCTTTTTATTGTTGTTGCTAATAGGTCAATTCATTTGTATTAGTCATCTTTCATTTTTATATATCAACCAATAACTTCATTTATTCATTCATTCATCAATGATTTATCGATTGAACATTCATTTCAAGCAGTGAATACTGATAAAAAGACTATGACTAAAATTTCATCAACACGTTTTTTGCGTCACTATGACGTCACGAACCATACAAAAATATTCACCATCCTTCATTTATTTATATATTCAGTCATTCATTAGTAGGTGTTGCAGTAGCATATGAATGACAATTTTTATACTTTCAACATCTTTTTGAAGTTAAAAAGATTAATGTACGTACATGCACGTGTACAAAATAACTTACGAATATCGTGTGTCGTACCACGTGTACATTGTGTTTGTGTACAACAAGCTATTTGAACTGACACACACATTGACACACACATACACACGCACATATATATATATATATATATATCGTGTTTCAGTTGCTATTTGTTGTTAATATTAATGTTATGTAGAGTGTACGATACGTACATATGTGTAATGTGTACATACGTCAGTTACTGTGCCCTGTTAATGTATCGATAATGTCCGCTTGTGATATTTATTTTCATTTCAAGGGGTTGTGAAATTGTATATATATTGTGTATATAAGATGTATGTATGTGTGTGTGAATGAATTGTGGTTTATATATATATATATATATATATATATATATATATATATATATATATATATATATATACACACACACACGTATCGCTTCAGTCAAGAAAGATCAGTCGAGGCGCCCTAACAAGTCTACAGCATGTGTGTGTGTATGTGTGTGTGTGTGTGTGCATATGCGCTGTTCGCGTGTCACTGTATAATGCTGAAATGAATTGCATTGTAATGTATTGTAAATATCACCTTATAAGTATTTTATGGAAAAAATAAACTCTGAATGAAAAAAAATTAATTCGTTTTATTATTAGAAATTATTATTATTTATTATTAGCATCCATTCAAATCTGATGAACAAGAAATTTATAAAACTAACAAAGGAGTGTATACAGCAACAGGCATCACTTAACCAATCCTTGAAACAAACACACACACGCAGACACACACGCACACAATAGACATGTAAACAATTTTATTCTTCAAATTCAGATGAATACTGAGTTAAGCCAGAACATTTCGGACAGAAGGTTTCAGTAATGTAGCAGCCATTGCACAGGACTCTGTGACCGCATGGAAGGTCCAGAAAACACGGAGGGTACAAGTTGCACGCCAGACATCTTGCTTCGGTCAGAGGTAGAGATGAGGATGTTAATGTTGACATGTAGAATATTCTTTCTACAGTCTGTGGTCAGGTTTCATTGTAATAAAATTTAATTTGGGGTATGAATTTTTTTAATTTTGGAATGTTTAATTCATCAAAACGAAACATGGCAATATTGAGATGATCTTTCAGTTATAAAATATTTTGTGAAAATAATAAATGAAGGAATGAGTGATTGAACAAAGAAAAAAACGAATAAATAAACTAGTGAGCACCTTATTGATGATATTCAAGTCCCTCCGTAACTTGGACTGAATTTGAAAGAGTGTGGCCAGGTTGATCTGATTCAAGTCCGAATCATCATGCAAGCATCTCAGAAACTTGCAATCATCAACTGCTGGTTCAGATCTCAAAGCAGCCATCTGCGCTGCAACCTGTCAAGAAAGTTTAGCGTTGGAAATTTTTTTAACAAAAAATCTCAAAATTTATTTTAAAAAATTTCAAGAATAAAGATGAAAACTTATTTACAAATGAAAAACATACATGTCTGCAACAAATCTTTTCTATAATTTGGACAAAATTAATAAAACTATAAGAAAAATTATTATAAAATCAGCAAATGAACCTGGTTCTTCTGTTTAACGGCATCATCTCGCTCAACTAACAAGTCACTGAAACTTTTCTGTAAGGTGCTCAATTCAATCTTCAACTTCATCAATTCAAAAGATTCTTGAGACGGCCTCTTCACAAATCCTGGAGGGGGAGGAGCTTGAGTCTTGCTCACCTCAAAATCATCATCCAAAGCATCCAATCGAATTTCATCAACTAGGCTGCCTCTTTTTGATTGACTGGCGGTTGCTATGTTTGATCGATTGGATTGGTTGGCTAAATTTGAAACATTATTTTGCTGCTTATCATTAAAAGGAAGCTGACATTTAAGAATTAATTCAATTTAAATATTTTTCACAAAAATTTACCTTTTCAATCATTGTACATGCTTGAATAACATTTCTTTGAAACTATTAAACAAAACAACCACAGTGGCGAGAAAGAAAGAAAAAATCTCTAAACCTGATGAAGATTTGTGAAGTGATGTTGTTGAAGTGGAAGCATCAACGACATCAGCCTCCTTCCCTACTGCGGCTGCTGCAACCGACACGTTCTGATGACTCAGATTGGTGGTGGTGGATACCTGGTACAGTTCTGTACTCAACTGGATGTAATTATAAATTGATCACATCTTATTGTTGAGTTAATTTAACTCCAGATGAAGATGATAGTGATGACAAGCACGATGATGGTGACGATGATAATGGTGATGAAAGTACATTCATTGGTGAGCAACAACAACGATAAAAATAATACTGATAGCTAACGTAAGAATCATCAGAGTCATCGTTAGTGATGTAGTCCATCAATGCATTCTTTGACTCGTGGTCATCACAGGGAAGTGGGGGAGAATTGCCGACGCTGCCATCAGCCAATCCCGATGAAGGCAACTGTGAAGATGTCGTTGACGTCGGTTGCAGTGGTGGTGATGATTGGCTGTCACCTAGGGGGAAATATATGAATGAATGAACGAATGAATGAATGACTAAACAAATGAATGAATGAATAGTTAATGAGAAGTTGTAGTAACTTTTTGTTTTAGAGAATTGGGTTAAATGAGCAAATGGGCAAAAAATTCCCTTGTTGCACGAGCCTGTCTTCTGCTCCTTGTAACATGCTTGGGTCCTGTATATCTGAATGTGTGTGTGTGTGCGCGCACGTGTTTTTGTGTGTGTGCCTATATGTATGCCGTGTATGTGTTTGTATGTAAATGTATGTCAAATTAAAACAGCATTTTCAATCAGATAACAGCTATAAATAGAATGCAAAGCAATAAAAGAAGCAAAACTATCATACATCAGGATGGTATTGTAACTCTTGTCTTGTATGGCTGTATGTACATTCGTCACCTTTATCACATGACCAAGGTTCCAACCAATCATCTTTTTCTTTCACCATGGGGCAGGCTATTGGTCTGAATGAATAGTCAATCAAGTGATGTCATTCATTGATTGGTTGGTTGATTGAGTGATTTACAGAATGAACAATTAATTTATTGATTTTAAAACTTTTTACTTAAAAATTGTAGCATTTCAACAACAATTGACAATGATTTATTGAAAATTACTTGAAAAAATAATAAGTATGTTTTTGTTAGAGAGAGAGAGTTGTAATGAGATATTAGCCTCAATAATGAAGGCCGTCATCATTAACAACCTGTACTTGTGAGTGGTGACTTTCCTCCTCCTCTCCTTGGCATTGTGGAAGAAAGGGCAGAGGGCCAGGTTGTGCTTGCTTGTTACGGGGCACTGTTCAGTTCTGTAGTGGGCAAGCAGGTAGGCCTCATCTAGGTTGAAAGAACATTAAGGTGTTTAATTAACATTTACCATTTATTTAAAATTTTACTATATTTAAAAGTTTTTACGTTCATCCATAAAATATGAAAGAATATTAAATTAATAATACTAACCACACCAAACTGGATCAAACTCAGCAGCAAAATTTTTCTCATCTCCCTGGGAACCATCTAGAGCTCCCTGACTACCCCCACTGTTAAAATTTCGAGCCTTCTGGTCAGTAATGTCCAGCACAGGTGTTCTTTTATCATCAGGCCCGTGAGCAAATGCACAGTGCAAACCATTCTTAGAACAATTTCCATGGTTGTCAAGTTCACCTGAGCACGATTCGGTTTTGTAGTACCTCAAGTGATAGCGATGCTCGGAATCACCAAGGTTCCTATGCAAGAATGAACAGCTAGAAGAATTTAAAAAATGTGTGGTTATTTATTACTTTTAAATTAATAACAGAAACAATTTTTAAATAATAATGTAAAAATTATGAAGAAAAAAGATAATGTATTATCATAATTCTATAATAATAATAAATAATGACACCAATGTAGCAACCAATCAACTGACCTATCACCATCTGGACAGACCCCATTGGAGTCATCATACTTGTTGCAGTACTGGTCGGGACTGTAGTTGAATTTACCATCCTTCGTATTCAACACTGGCCTCCTCCTCCTTTGATTAGGAAAGTGCCACTTGAAACAAGTGTAAGGTTTGTGGAACTGACACTGATGCTGTAAAAATTCTTTGCACTGATCAACACGAAATGACTTCAAGTAACTGTTGAATTGATTCAATGAAACATACGTATTCAACAAGTCGTTATTATATTAATTAATAATTTAAATAAAACTAGATAAAAGATCTACTGTTATTTTCATATTTTAAATTTTAGCTAGCTGCGGGAAGAATGATGTGCAGAGTTTCTGACCAGATCTAGCTAGACTAGTGACTAACACTAGACTAGAGCTAGATTTTGATTTGATCATTTTTATTATATTTTTATTAAATATAATTTATATTTAAATAATTTAATTTATTATTAAAATATTAATTTAAATTTATATTTAAATTATAATTTATTATATCATCTGATCATCACATATGTATATATATGATTTTATATTATTATTGATATTCCTAATTGTTAAATGTTATCTGTTATGTTATCATTTCATTAATATATTTTTTATTGTCTAAACTACTAAACATAAATAAATTAAATCTAATTCTAAAATAATCTAATAAACATAAAAAATCAAAACAGAACTTGTAGTGGTTGGGTTTTTCTTGCTGCCGAGTGAAAACTGCACCTTCCAGAGGCATAATTAATTTTTTAATAGCTTTATTCTTTTTAAAATTTTCAATTTATAATATTTAAATAAATTATATATTCATTAGACCTTTCAACACATTTTTACCATTACGGCGAAAAAAATACTTCATTAATAAACACGTAAATTAACTTTTAAACATTTCATAACATAGACAATATAACACGTTTAATAAAATTAAAAATGTAATCACTTGAGATAGCGATATTATAAGTAACAAGTAAGTTAATAAATGGCGCTGTTACTGTTGAAAAAATTTCAAGAATGGTACAGTAATATTGTTCACTATTTGTTCTATACGAGGTAGTTTACTTAACTTTTACTTTTTAACTACGCTGAACATAATGATCCTAATATGTTAGACTCTTCTAATAACAGTTAGTTAGAGTTAGAAGAGAGAAGACTAATAAAGTTTGACAAAGCCCAGTTAAATTTACCCACGCTCCTAGAATTATTGTCCTTTATTTATTTTATATTTATGTTTACTTTATTTCATCATTTTATGCCTTAGATGGCTTATTTATGCCATGACTTATTTATGTTATGGTTGGCCATTCATCTTATTCTTAGTTAGTTATGCTAACTTAGTTACTTTCATAACTTAGGGTGAGAATGTTTAAAAATGAAATGATGTTAAGAGTAAAGTAAGGTACTATGCTATGGGCTCATCAAAAATCTTTATGTCAAAACAAAAGGTAAAAACCTTAAAAATGAAGGTCAAGTTATGGCCAGAGAATCTTAAAAGTTGTGGTTGTTGTATTATTAATTAAAATTGCAATTAAGTTTTTAGGTATAAAAAACAATTTTATATTTATTTTATCAGCTTTATTTAATTATAAAATTTAGTCATAAGTAATTTTTAATGATATTAATTATGAATCCCATGCAGAAACAGTTTCTTCCAGTTGTTATATTTAATGCTTGTCTCTACATTCCACTCTGCCATAATTTACGATGGACTAGCCATCTTGAGACTGCATGATCCTCATTCATACCACCTGCCCATTCCATTAATCATCTGCTCCATTAATGTCCTCACATTTCTCATTGCTTCCTACTCTAATCCCGGGATCATCACTCAGAAGAACGTCAAGTACCATTTGTCATTTTATAAATTTGACAGTGTTATTTTTAGGAGAGGGGATGTCTGTTCGACTTGTAAATTTATGAAACCAGCGAGATCGAAGCATTGCAGTTTGTAATAAAAACAACTTTTTAGTTTATCATTTTGCGTTTTTAAATATAATTTACTATCTAATTTCGTCTATTATTTTATAAATTTGAGGTTTTTTTAACTAAACTTCTCATTTCTGACAGAAATTACAGATAGATGCATTTACAAGTTTGATCATTACTGTGTTTGGATAGGAAATGCCATCGGTGGCAACAACCACAGATACTTCTTACTGCTGTTATTTACCCTAGCTGTCATGCTTATCAACGGTCTGTACAACATTCTCAAAGTGCTCAATGCTATCACATATGCATTCCAGTTGTGGGATTTAGCTGAATATAAAATGTCAAAACTGTATGAAGCTAAGCATGGCTCCAGTTCCTGGTTTTCAATGGACTCAAATGTTTACCTAATATATTTTCAGGTATTGTTTTGTAGGTTCATGTTTTTAATTCTATTGTTGACTAATTTAATATTTTTCTACAGATTCTCTACCAACGGTTTCCTAGAGTAGTGTTCATTGGTGTCAGTTGTGTGATATTTTCGGCCATAGAGTTATATTTCTTCTTTTACCACACCCTCTCCGTTCTGATGAATGAAACAACGAATGAAAGTTATAAACGGTATTATATCAGGCCAGTGCAAAATGAACCCAAACCATCCAGCTGTACGATGATCAGACGGCCAAAAAGAAATATCTATTATAAATCTGTGTGGAGGAATATTTTGGAAGAAGTTTTTCCATTGAACAATGAAATGAAATATTCATAAGTAGTAGATGATCGCGCTTATTGTTCTTCTTTTAGTTTTGCATTTGCAACGGGGCCAACGTTTTCAGATGCGTCTTAGTACTGTTGTTTCAGGATTTTTCAATTTCTTAGACGTTTCTTCAATTACAATTTTCTTCAGGCAGTTATGAAACGCGCAGAGCACACGTGTATTTATATTTTTCTACAATTCTACAATTCTCCAATTCTCTTCAACGTTTAATGTAATAATATATAATTTGTTTTTAAAATCTATCCTTAAGCGTTTCTTAAATTCAAAATTTTATTGATCTGAAAAAAATTGAAATTATGTTCAATCGTATAAACTACGTTCGTATGTTCTCATGTTTGCGTGTGAAGTGCGTCAAGTTATATTTTATGGTGATATTTTATTATATGATTTTAAGTTTTTCTGATTTGTTTGGTTAAGTTGTTGGACTAAAACGCCCGTCGAATTCATTGCATGGATTGCCTACATCCGATGATGCATTCTCGGATAAATTTCGTGTGTGTGGTGTGCGTGCGTGCGTGATAGAGAAACAGCCAAACGTGTGCTGGATGCTTGTGTGCTAATTAAAATCTCTCAGTAATGGCCCTGTCCTATCGATATTTTTATCTTACAACGGCATCATCATTTCAAAACTTTTTTACTGGGAGGTGCACGCAACGTTTAAAGGACGAGAGATGCTATCAAATGACCATCCAGCCAAATAAGGTCGGTCACTCTATTTTATGAATGAATAACGTTTGTGTGTAATATATGAATAAATATATATATATATATATATTATGTTTAAAGTATTTAAGTATATAATGTGTTGTTTCTTGTGTTATTTTATATAGGTTATATAAAACATAATATACAATGGACATTGTAAAACGTGGTACTTTTATGCCTGAAATGTTCCATCTGTTTCACTGCTGTAGGCACATTAATGATTTTCGTTAGGATGATTCCGTAAGAAGCGGTTCTTGCCTAAAACTTCTTAGATTTATAAGAGGGGATCGATTGAACTCGTGAATCAAGTTTAACGTTTTGCCGCCATTGGATTAAAAGACCGTTATTTTCAGGGCATGCCTCTTAAATTAATGCTTAAAATATATGCCGCTCACAGATAAAATTTTTTATTACGTTGCTTATCCTTTAAGATTTATATCTTGTTCAATTGCTCGGTTGGTCTTGGAAAGCAATTGCATGTTTTGTGAAGCGTTCAACAATTGCTGCGTGGACAGCGTTTGATGACTTTCGTGTTTTTTTTTTCGAAGTCGACGCATTTCACGCATCGTTAAAATTTCAGCCGACCGACGAATGGATGGATGGATGGATTGATGTCATTTTTGTTTGATCGAGCGCTCGTTCGTTCGTCTGTTTGTTCTTTTGACCGTTTTTGATATGACATTTTGAGATTTGGACGTACCCTGATATCGTTTTTAAAAAATTAGTTAAGACTGTCGTACAAAGCGTTTAACTGCGAGTTTGATCACACAATTAAAATGCAACTCTAAAATTTTATTTTATAAAGTTAATTTTTGCACGTTTTTTTCACATGCTGTCAATAATTTTTTATATGAAAAACATTGTTTTACGACTTGGAAATGAGTAGCTTCTCGAAATATCTTACAACCAAATATTAATTATTAATAAACATTTGACTAATTCATGTTGGTATGCTGTCAGTTGACGAGGCATTCTCAACCCCAGACATTCATCGTGTTCTCCTTCCATCTCCTCTTCATCTCATCTCTCGGTCTGGTCAACTTCACTGGCATTTGCTTGATCCAGTACGACTTCTTGCCCCTGACGACCCCCTTCTCTTCCCTGTCCTCTTCCGGGTTCATCAGCGGCTTCCTCCTCGTCAGTGCGTCGTCTCCCAGCAGCACGTAAGGATAGGTGTCTGCAGTTGAAATGCGTTAATGCATTGTGTTTTGTTTTTCAAACACCAATTTAAAATGATTATTATTTATCGTATTAATGATGAATATTGCAAAAATCAGAAAAAATTTGACACAAGCAAATGCAGATTAGACGTAATGAATATAAACGTCTGTCATTAAACCTTCATTTTGACTATCTTCATCGATTGCCTGAGGTTGGTCGTAACCGAGGAGGGCAGTCCTCTTGCCCCACACATTCATAGATCTCGTACCCCACTGTCGCTTGTTCACGTCAGAAAATTCGTCACCCGATCTCTTGCCCCAAACATTCATTGAATTTTTATCCCATCTGCGTTTTGTGACGTCGTCAGGGACGCTGCTGCTGTAGTCGTCATCGTCGCCACCATCCAACGACTTCAAACTGGCCACCTCTGCCACGTTGCGTCTTCGTCGAATTAAATCGTTTATGCTTTTTTCTTCATGGATGTCTTTGTCTTCAGTGGCGACTTTGTGTGGTTGCTGCAAGTAAGCAGTTTGGCTGGATGTGAGCGAGGAAGTTTGCAGAGGTTCGTAAGCGGAGCCGAGCACGAGGGGGTAGCAGAGGACGACCAGGGTTACCAGCAAGTGGAAGGGCTTCATCGTATTATCAGCTAACATTTTGATAAGAATGACTGAAAGAGAAAACGACTGGAGTTAGTGAATGATCGTTTTAATTTGGTCAGCAGACGAGTAGATGGCGTTCAGTTAAATATTTCTAAGAGAGAGAGGGAGAGAGAGAGAGGCAGGGAGAGGAAGAGGAATGAAATGATGATGCTATTTCAGTTACCTGTGTGGTGAAGAAAAGTATTTTATTGAACAAATAGACGAATAAATTAAAGAACGAATTGATAAAAAAAAGTGAACGAAGGAATGATTAGAGAAATGAATGCAATGGGCGATGCAACAAAGGAAACATCTGGATAGAAATTTAGATTAAATTTTGCGCGAAATTTATATACAGGTACAATGGGATCATTAATTATTAAGTGGTACGATTATTTCTATCTTTAGAGTTTCAACAAAAATGAGAACATTAAGTAAATTAATAAATTATAAAAACAACGGTAACACGATGGTGCTAGTGATATAGCTGCTAGTATGATTAATTATTATTGATAAGAATAATAATAATAATAATAATAATAATAATAATAATAATAATAATAATAAGAAAAAGAAGAAGAAAAAGAAGAAGAAAAGAAGAAACAGTAGGATGAAAGCAATCATAACAACCACCGCATCGCATTGTCTCATCTAATGAGAAGGCCTTTGATGGGCAAAATTCTGAATAATAAACAAGATGATACGGCCATAAACAAGCACACACACGCCACAAACGAACACACACACACCACACACGAACATACACACACACATTCACACATCAGCACATACGTACGGTAGCCTATCCTCAAAGCACATACAAAACACACACACACACAATTTCGCCAGTGTACACTGTACACATGTTTGCTCGTTTATAGTTTTATAGGCAGACTCCTGATTTGATGTTTGTGGTACACACACACACGCACGCACACACACACACACACACACACCCTACACACACACAAACAAACAAACACACAAACAAGCACATAAATTTGTTGACGCAATTTTACATAGGCACATGCACTCTACCAATATATCTCTACCAATATACACTAATATACGTTCAAAGTAGCCATAAAGACACAGACGCACATGTTGATTCACATGCACATGGCATGCACACACAACAAATTTGAGACAAAAAAGTAGCGAATTTATCGAAATTATGAATTTTAAATGCTGTTGATTCGCCGCGATAAGAATGGTCTCATTATTCTGATTGAAAACCTCATCCCAAAAAAGATTTTTAATCAAAACTAACTGGAAAAAACACATCAACAACATCAACCATAAAAACATCAAAAACAACAAAAACTACATCAACAACAACCACAACAATAGAAACAAAATCCAAAAGCAAGGAGATTCACATTTTAATTTAAACAGCACTAACAATAAAGACCTTTAAATTTAAAATAAGAACTGCGAGCCAGCAATAAGCACAATAAATATTAATGCTCTGATGACCACAATGTTATGGCCATCATTATCTACATTTTCATACAATAAACACACGCATACGGACACGCACACACACGTACATATATACGTACATACACACACATACATACACACATATATTCATTTTATACCTACCTACACAGTGGCCCCGAGATAAACTTTATCGGAGTTTAACAGATAACGTAAGATTTGGACGTGATTTTTATTTGCATTATGAAGCGCTTAACTCTTAATTGATGTGAAGTTTGCTCAGGGCGGGTGTTCAGGTTTAAATTGGTTGATAAGTACAGCGCACAGTTGTTTTGATGCGTCGCGATGATGTGTTTCCTTCGTTGGCTAAGGTTCATTCAAATTAATTTTGTCGCAATTAAGTGAGCGTTGTGTGTTTTGAGCATATTATATGAGTTTGTGATTGTTTTTGCTTCTTGTGATCAGCCTATATAATTTTTTTTCAATGTGATTGTGCGTGCGTGTGTGTGTTCCTTTCGTGTGCGTGCGTTCAAATGCGTGTTAGGGTTTGAATAAAATATTAAATGGAATGCATTAATCATCAGATGATTGAAATGTTTGTTTGTCGGATGAAAAGTTTAAAAAATGTGAATAGGGTCGAACACGGCAAAAATTTTTAAAAGTTTTGTATAATTTTAGTTATTTGTTATTCAATAAAGTCTTCTCTATAGCCATTGTAATAATTGTTATTACAGTGTTTTGACAGCATTTTGTTCCATCATCATCTGTTGTTTCGTTGTTGTCATTATATTGTTAGTGCTTTTTTTCAAAAAGTTTCGAAAAAAAACAAAATTTTTTTTAGTTGCCATTGTTTAAAATAATAAGATTACGATGGTTAATCTCCATTCTTCTTTCTGGTCAAATTTCAACTTACCATTCTGACCAGGCGTTCATTTTGTTGAATTTTGTGTTTGTGTCTGTCTGTGTGCGTGTGTGTGGATCTATATGATAGCGTGTGTTTGTGTGTGTGTCCGTGTGTGTGTGTGTGTGTGTGTGTGTGTGTGTGTGTACTTTTGACTTAGGATAACGATTTTCTTGACTTGCCAATGATTGTGGTAAAAGCCAAAATTAAATGTCTGAATGTTTGAATCAAAATTTTAATTTTTTTTAAAGTTTTGTTATTATTTTTTTATTTTGTTCGTTTGTACGGAGGAAAACAAGTGTTGGTTATGGTTACATCTTCTATGTCAGGGTCATTTAGTAACATTGACATCGTCAAAATAATCCTAACCATTGTCAAAAAATATGAAAAAATATAGAAGGAACAACATTACGGAATAAAATCTAAATAGGATTCACGTAAATTATCAAACAAAATCATAAAATACCACAAACCTGTATTTAATTCAACGAAACGGCTATCATGAAACTAACTTCTAGGCTAATGAATATTAAGCGCCAAATAAATAATAAATGAAATAAATAATAATTAAATATTATGTATGCAGAATGTTCTAAGCTGTTTTTTCTAGCGCTTATTTTAATGAAGAAGCTTTATTCTAAAAAACTTTGACAGGTCATCAGCGAGTATCAAATTAATTTTTCGATGTTTGTTCACTAGTTCTGAGCTTTGCTTTTTATAAGAAAGTTGGCCGCTACATAAATATATATGTATATACATACACACATATACGTACATATACATATATAGATACATATACATAAACACATATATACTTACATACATAAATTAAAACATATAAACGCATACATACATCTATGCAAATCCATATCTTGTTATCCAAGTTCATGATACAAATTTAATAAAACTGTTGTTATCCCAATATCATACATCAGGTAGATAGGCCATGAAACCCTACAATAATAACTAGTTATTATTGTAGAATTCCATGGATACTCCTTATTTCGATTTTTTACAAATCATCTTCAATTAACGTACATATGGAAGCACACGAAATTATTTTATAAATTAATACATATATTCACACACACGCACACACACACACACACAAACATATATATATATATATATATATATATATATATATATTGCATAGATATATACGTTTGATGGACCCCGAGAGATCACGTGACAAATGGGGCATATAACATGAATGAATGATATATGACCCGTTGTCGGGTTTGTTTGTTTTTAATCCGTGCGTGTCAACTGGCATGCGATTTTTTTTTTTTTGTTAAATTATTTTCCAATTTTAATTATCAAATAACGGGAGAAATAAAAAGCGAAAAAAAATATTTTAGCATTTTTTATTCGCTTATTATATTTTTAACTTTTTAAAAATTAAATACCCCACAAAAATATTACGATCAAAATGATCAATGGCATTAAGCGAGGAAGCAGCGTATGTTTTTGCCAATAATTGTCGATTGAATTTTAAAATTTTTAAAATTAATGTAATAGTGATTACTACTACTTCTAATCTTACTACAACTACTAATACTACTACTACTACTACTGCTGCTGCTGCTGCTACTACTACTACTACTACTACTACTACTACTACTATTACTAAAACAACAACAACTACTACTACTACTATTATACTAATACTACTGCATCTGCTGCTACTACTGCAACTACTACTGTTGCTACTATTACTAATAATAATAAGTAATAATAATAATAGTAATAATAATAATATTGATAATTTCTCACATTCAGTAAGAACAATGGATCGAGCAGAGTGACTAGAATCCTTAATATCGGATTTGATGCCGTTGTCTAAGAAATGCAACAGAACTGAATGTTTGCATATTTGTTTGTTTGTTGGCTTGTTTGTCTGTGTGTATGTTTGTATGTCTGTCTATTTGTATGTGTATGTGTGCGTTCGTTTGCTTCTTGAATTGAGTGTGTGTGTGTGTGTTTGTATGTGTATAAAAATTACGATGAGAGTTAGAATTATTTATGTGTTTGTGTGTGTGTGTGTGTGTATATATATATATATATGTGTGTGTACATGTGTGTGCGTATATGTGTGTGTGTGTGCGTATATGTGTGTGTACATGTGTGTGTGTGTTTAATACAAAAAATGTAAAACGCGGTCAACTCTGTGTTATTTGATTTGAAAAAAAAACTAAGAAACTTTAATTGGTCAAATTATTTGCTGTTATGATTTCTATGCTGTCGTTCATTTGAGGTGGTTTTGTTTTTGTCCTGGTTTTTATCTGCAAAATGGAAAAAATGTGGAAAAATTGTATAAGAATGAAAAAAATTGTGAAATAAATCTTCGAAATATCAACGTACTAGTGAAGAAGAATTACTACAAATACTAATAGTAGTAATAATAGTGGTCGCAGTACTATAAATGTTCTAACTACATACTTTTGGTTGGTTAGAGTTAGAGTTGGTTATGATTTCATATAAAATAAATTGCAGTTGTTGTTTATGCTTACTTAGATTCCATTAATATTTTAAAACATTGATAACGATGCTGTTGTTGTTGTTATTTTTGTTGTTGTTGTTGTTAATTATTATTGTTACCCAGGCTTTCATGTACTCACGATATAGTAATTAGCGTCATTTCCTAAGACCATCCTATATATCCTATATATATATTTATATATATTTACATAAAAATTTTTTTTAAAGTTTTCTTAATTCAAAATATTCTGTCAACATTGTCATCATCTCCATCTTTTTCGTTTTTAGTTCATTTATTAACTTCTTTATTTATTTGAATTAGCCTTTGGTTTTGGCTAGCGTTTTTTTCACCATAATGTGCAGGCGTGTCCAGACAGTCTGCATTGTAGGGCAATGTAGATGGATCTTAGCGACTTTCTTTCCCATCCCATGTTGTTCCATTTCCAGCTCTTAAGCCATCGTTTTTCTTTCTCATTGTTTCAACTATAATTTTTGCGCGCTATTCTATGCTGAATGATCTATCGTATTTTACCCCCAGAAATAATGGATGTTTTTCAAACCTCATCAAGGTATCTAAAATTTTCAAGGACCATACCTATCTGCATCATTCACCGCTGTGGAAAAGAGTTTTGCAGTGCATCTGTCTTAGTTGAGTTTCATCTTATACAATTCACTCCAATTCTCGATTTTGTCAAATTTTCTTTGGATTTCGGCCATCACTTCATGTTTGTTGTTGCAACGTTGTACCACGGCATTGTCAGTGAAAGCACAACGACGACATCGACCACAGCAGCCCAAACATCAGCCACAGCAACGACGACGATGAAACCATCAAAATCAAGTGCGGCAATAAAAATGGCCGGGACAACGTCTTATTAGTGTCAATCACAACAATCACGTGTGCATTCACCAACGCAGACAAACTTATACAAACACACACATAATCACAAACAAACACACATACAAACATACAATCCTTCACACACATGCGCGCACATATACACAATCACACACACACACAACCATAAACTGGATATAACTTTGGGCCATTTGACCACTAAACAATGTCATTAGCTGTTCATAAGGATCCTACGTTGAGTTATAAAAAATTAATGGTTTATACAATTCATTAAGCACTGTTCCATGTATAATGTATGTGTATGTGTGTGCCAGTGTGTGTGAGTGTATATGCGTGTATATGTGCATGTGTGTGCGCGCGTGTGTGTGGGCGTAAAGCTTAATTTAGAATTAAATAAAATTATATTAAAAATGCGTCTTCAAACTTGAATCGATTTTTTCATTTCAATTTTTTTTAATTGCTTCATATTTCGCCGACATTAATCAAAAAACTATGGTAGAAGTTTTGTATTAATAAAATATAAATAAATTTTATTTCTTGAGAACGCACACACACACGCACACAAACAAACACACGCACACAGACAAACAAACCAATATATAATGCCATATATACATATTCATTTACATGTATGTAGTGTGCTTATCTAAATGTAAGTAAGAGAGTTTTGTGAAGTAGTGTGTGTGTCTGTGTGTGTATGTGTGTGTGTGTGTGGGGGGGCCTTATTCTTATGTGTGTGTGTGTGTGTGTATGTGTGTGTGTGTGTGTGTGTGTGATTTATTCTATTTCATTGTTATATCCTTAATTCATCCATACGATGTTAGGTGAGAGCTTCCACTTTAGGTTATAATTAAACTTCATAGTCTTGGATTTGCTTCATTTATTTACTCTTGAAATTCAACGGACAGATGATGATGACGACGACGATGATGAGGATGGTAACGAAGACGACGACGAAGATGATGATGATAACGACGATGAACTATGATGATGATGATGACGCTGATGATGACGACGACGATGATGATGATGGCAATGAAGACGACGAAGATGATGATGAGGATAACGGCGATGAATTATGATGATGATGACGACGTTGATGATAATGATTACAGTAACTATAAAGATGATGACGATGACGACTTTGATGATGATGACGAGAAATATTATTAGCGATAATAAAAAACGCCTAATTTAATTTTATACTTCTGCAATGCAAACATGCTTCCGGTAATAGCATAGATATGAAAATAATTAAAAATTAATAGTGATGGGCGGATAATCATTTTATTTTATTACATAATCAAATCAGATTTGTCAATAAACAGCGGGGACGCCATCTTGTCGCAGCACTCTGTGCGTGTGTGTGTGCGTGTGTGTGTGCTTGTTTGTATCCGTGTATGTGTATGTCCGTCTATTTATGTGTTTCAAAGTGTGGTTAGATGCCTGCATACGTGTGTGTGCATAATTCTTTCTCTAAGTATGTGTGTAAAAAACACGTATTAACAGTAATATAAATGAGCAAATTCACCGGTGGTAATTTCGTTATCATTACTACAGTTAATAGTGGTAGAAGTAGATGTAGTGGCTGCATTTGTTTCTTGTGGTAGCTGACGGCATAATTGAAAGTAACAGGTAGTAAGGAGTAGTAGTAATAAAACGACGGTAGTAATAAAAGTTATTTTTCAGAATATTTATAAAAATTTATAATAATTATAAAAATTCGGAATAATGTTAAATAACAATTTTTTTCTATTATAATTTTTATATTAATAAAACTTTTATATCACAAAAACAGTACATAAATTTTAAAAAATACATGAACACCAAGAGTGACATGGAGCTAAACTTGCGCGCAAGTACCTAAAAGTTCCAAAAGGAACCTTCGCGTTGAAGAGTGCCATTAATACTAGCTAGTCGGATGTCCCCATAGATATGAGAGTGTAGAGTGATCTCACACATAATCGTCCATCTTCATCACAGTTGTTTATATATGTCCGTCCATACTACGTTATCTATGCTGCTGGCTATCTACCTATCCATCTTTCCGTTATCTATGTTTCTGCTTTTTTATCTATGTTCAGCGTTGGGGTGAACAAATATTTGATCTATGTTGTGCTTTTGGTAATTTATATTCCCTTCAATTTTTTTTTTGCTACGTTGGCAAATTTGTTTTTAGCGTTTATTAATAGCCTGTTGGAATTTTCGATGATGATGATGATTTGATGATGACGATAATAATGATGATTTGATGATGATGATGATTACAGTGTTGCTGATAACAATGATGACACGATTATAAGGCCAGAACTCGAAGTTGACGATTAGGACGAACCTGAACAAGACATGAACGCTAATAATTCATTAATTTCAGTCAAAATGTGAAAAATGAAAATATAAAAATGACGTCATCGTCAATAATTGAAAATAACGATGACGAACGATGATGGTGGTGCTGGTTGACGTAATGATGACCTGCTATCACGTAATTGTAAGATAATAATAATGAAGCTGACGACGACGACGATGATGATAACGATGATGATTATGATAATGATGATGACAGTTATGATGTTTATGATGTCGTGTTTAAACGTCTAATGCTGATGAATGCGTTTATTTGTTGAGAGGAGTTCTGTGAGCATGCCTTTGCGTCACTGTACGCTTGTTTGTGTTAGTTTCTATGTTTATATGTATGTATATATATACATATATATATGTGTGTGTGTTTATGTGTTTATACTACTGTGAGTTTGGCATTGTGTATCTGTCAATTTATCTATCTTTGTTTTTATTTTTGTATTTCAATGTTTTATTTAAGTAGTCAGCAGGTATGTTTTGGCTGTTTCTAGATGTTTATATGTTTGTTTGTGTGTTTGTTTGTGTATTTATGTATGTTTGTTTTTACAATATTCTATAAATTCTACCGAATGTTTGGCG